CACCATTTTGAAGCTCATGGAATGTAAAAGACCATGGTACTATGATCGGTTTGTTACACAAAATACTTGTAAAGTACAGCGTTTTTTATTATTATATTACCATATACATAATCATTACCTTCAATATCTACGAAAATATCATTCTCCTTGTCCGTTTGATCAACGCTAATGTCATCCAATCTCTCACTATCAAATATAAATTCATCCTCCGTTCCATCCTCCTTTCGAATTGTCATATTAAAGCAAGCACTATGTTGCAAGTTTTATTCGTGTTCGTAGATGCAAAATTTTAAGTACGTTACAGCCAATAAAATAGCGATTTACATACTCCTATCATAATACCCCCCTAGTATAATACCACTATCCGATCAAAGTACCACCCCGTGTATAGTACCCCATGGTACAACAAGATTTTGTAAATACCACTGGTACTTTAGTCCGAGAAATACGGTAAGTCTCTTATCAGCAGAAGTTAGGAAGTTCATAATAAACATCACATCTTTCCAGAGAGGGAATAGATGTGGGTGGTCTTTTATTCGTTTAATTACGGAGTCAGAACTTTCTGTTATCCACTAAATTTGACATAAGCATAATACACGTCATTATAAGAATAACAACTGATTTGTTCTGGTCAGAGCTCACTACGTTGTAGCAAAAATTGGCTAGATGGGTTGTTTCAGTTACTTATTTTTGTAAAGTTTACGCGTCAGATAGTAAAGTTTGGTTAAATAAAGTGAATGATTAACAACAAATACGGTTTATGTTTCATCAATTTGAGTTTTAATCCAAGAGTAAGAAAAATACGTATTTGACCAAATTTACAATTACAAGTAATAGGGAAAAATTTTAATCGATTGATGACATAATACTTCCTGTCAGCCCTCCTCTATGTTTTTTCCTTACCCTTTGTGATTTTTTTTGTCGGTGATAATGTGTTTAGAGGCGTAGACTTTTGTTCTTTTGTGCAATGTTTCTATTCGTTTTGCGACGCTAGCGGTTGTGATGCTGTGGTTGTGGCGCACAATTTAGTTGTAATCGTGCTTTCGCAGACCAGGATTGTAGGAATGACTAACTTATCCGATCGAATGCTGATAAAGGAGAAATCCAAAACATCGCAATAGAGTACGCATAATTAAAATTCCTGTAAATCGGACTGTAGCGTTTTTCTGAGCGGCAGTTATTGATTTGGAAAGTCTGTCAGTAGTGGAGTGCATTATTATTACTTTATGTGCTGCTGGTCTTTCTCCTCACGCATGTATTCAGGAATTGTCAATGACAGCCTTAATCCAGTATTAGTACAGAGGGTGTGTTTGTAATTTTGGTGCTTCAGGGTCAATCTGCGCTGTCGATCGGAAGTAGTTATTTTTAAGCAAATAGGAGAATTTTCCATGGACAAAATATACTGCATTTGTCTGTAATGCATCACCAGTCAATGGTTTAATACATTTCTCGCTTCTATCAACCCGTGCTTTTGATTCAGTTAACTTCAAATCAACGTTACACTAATTTTTATCACGCCACAGTGCACTATCCTTGATGTGGTGATGACAATTGCAAATATCACATGCATCCAAAAGAAATTATCCGATCCCTTACAAATTTGATCGCTTCGTCTTGGTTAGTCGTTTTGGTTGGTTCCGCTATTGGCCATTTTGTGAGGTAGTCTTGAGCAATGATTATATACTGATATCCTTCTTTCGATTTTGGTAAAGGTCCGACATGGTCTATTCCCACAATCTCCCAAGGTCCTG